GCTGCTTAAGGGCAGAGACAGCCTAGCTCACCACTACGCTCTCAGGGCTTAGCACAGGGCTGGAAAGAGCAAGCAGCCAACACACTTTAGAGGAATGAATAATCCACCCTGAAATGCCATGCACCCATAAAAGAAGGCTAGAACTGCTGGTCTAATTTGTAAAGACATTTAACATATCTGTTTCATGGAAAAAAACAAACAAACCACACACACAAAAAAAACCCCAACAAAAAACAGGTAAATATACAGAAAAAGGTCTAGAGAAAAAAAATGAGCTTTGAAAATGCATACATCTTAATTGTGTCAATGTTTATCTATGGAGAGAGGAGTGAGATTAAAGGTACGGTGGGAAGGGAGGTTTTCAGATTGTGTTTCATACATAAAAATAACTTGTATTCATTTGTGTATTGTTTCAGAAACTAAAAATAACTTGAAAGCTTTTAAGAAAGAAAAGAACCCTTGGAATCAAGGTGCAGCCCTTCCCCAGTGCTCCCCTTCCCCACAACCCGTCTCCCAAAGGACAACAGATTCCGGCGCGAGGCATGGATGCCATCCGCGTCTAAGAGCGTGTGGGGAACAGGGAGGCTGAAGAGGGGTTGCAGGAGAAGATTTCTGAGGATTCTCAGAAAACACACAGTTTCTTGGTTCTACCATGAGCACTGTTTGTGGTTACCCCACTTTTCTTTCCAAATTCCTATTAAATAATTAACCACACACCTGAACCACAGCCAAGACGCAACGTACAGTAATAAAATGACCTACTTTTAATATTTCACAGCTGGTATACAGGGCAAGATGTTCCACAAGCCAGAGCTTAAGCTTTAGGATAAAAGAAGTCTAGTCTCTCTATTTTATTTTATATTTTTATAGACTTCAGAGAAGAAGGAAGGGAGGGAGGGAGGGAGGGAGGGAGAGAGAGAGAAAGAGAAAGAGAGAGAGAGAGAGAGAGAGAGAGAGAGAGAGAAACATCAACGATGAGAGGAAATCATTGATCAGCTGCCTCCTGCACATCCTCTACTGGGGATCGAGCCTGCAACCTGGGCACGTGCCCCGACCCTGAATCCAACCATAACCTCCTGGTTCTTAGCTTAATCACTGAGCCACACCAGCCCCGACCCTGAATCCAACCATAACCTCCTGGTTCTTAGCTTAACCACTGAGCCACACCAGCCGGGCAAGGAAGTCTAATCTTTTAAATGCCTTAAAGGAATTCTATATGGACTTTATCTCATGACAGAAGTTTATTTTTAAAAGGAAAACTACAGTTTTATATGCTGAATAGGCACTTAAATATTCAATTTATTGTTAAAAAGGAACTTAACATCACTACACAATGCACCGTAGCACATAAATCAATTTTCCAGTAAAGGGACCTCATTACATTCTTACAGGAATCAAAACTTTTCCTTTGGAGAAAAATGACCTTTGAAAATGTATTAAGCTACTTCCTATCCTCTTAAACAGAAAATTATATCCAGTGCTCTGTCTTTTGATGACTCTAGAGTTATAACTATAAACATAAAAACTGCATGTGCCATAATACAGTGATGGAGAAGTTTACCTTTCTATTAAATGGCGCCAAACTGCCACACTTTTATAATTCTTGTGTCTATTTTTTCCTGGCTTCTGGCTTCTCCCTCATTATCAGGCTATTTTCTCTGCTCATCTATTATTTCCAATCCAGGTTCAGGTGAGAAACCAAAGAACCAGCTGCTTCTAAAGTATGTGTAATATAATCTGAAAAAATTTGGTTTTATAGTGTCATTTTCATTATGTAGAAAATGTAGATAGCCGAAGTTATTAAGAATATAGCCTCTAGATAAATAAGTGTTAGCTACCATCCTGCTGCATTCACAACCATGATGAAGAATCCATAAATACAAACAGCGCATCCAGCAGCTCCCCCTCCAGCCCCTCGAAACAACGAATAAGCCATCTGGAAGCCAGAACCAACATGGAATGTGTATATAAGGCCTACCATGCTTCACAGCCTGTAAGCATGATACGATGTATGAATATTCTAGAAACAAGGGAGGCAGCCGCAAAGGGTGTGTCAGACCAGAGGGTAAGGAGGAGAGGGTGGCTGACTTTATGGTGCTTGCTCAAAAATTTAGTGTAATGACACAGAAGGAATGCTGCCCCGTGGAGAGGTGGGTCCTCTTACAGGGACAGCCAGACAGAGGCAGCAAGCCCCAAACTCAGGAATATCTGCTCACATGAGGAAGTCTGCCAACTGCCATCACTGTGGAGCCAAAGGCAGTCAGACACCTGATCTAGAACACTCCATAAAGCAAAGGCCTCCACATACTGGGCGGTACAAGGATCAAGTGCTCGGGGCACCCAAGCCTCACCTCTTCTTTTCTTGCTCTTCCTTCTCTATTTTGTGGGATGTGACGTATGTTGAGAAGAGATGGCAGCACCTGTTTAGGAGCTTGACAAACTCCACCATGGCCTCCTCCTTAGACATGTTTCCCAGCGCTGCCCATTCTCTCCTGGAAGGAATAACAAGAAAAGTCACCTCCTTGTCTTGAGAGGATGAGAATTCCATTAAATAGAAACCTAAACATTAACAATTCTCAATCATAACTAAAGTGAAGAATAATTCTATTATACACAAAAGGTGCAAAACTTCCAGTTTCAACAAGCATGTACTGATTTACTAAATTAGCCATGCCACGTACAACCCAAACTACAACTTAACCACTGCACTGATCATTTCTGTATTAGCAAAAGCGTATCTGAATTTTACTTATATTTTAGCCTTAATTGAATAGTCAATGTATTCCTTTTTGTCACAGCTCTCTATATGTCCCAATAAGGAAATCAATTACTACATATTTTAAATGGCAGCTTTTATTATTATTATTAGGAAGAATCAAATGAAGCTGTACTTGTCTTATGTTCATAATCAGATGAGTAAGCTTCTTCCACAATATTTAGCCATAAACACCTCCAAGCCCAAAAGAGATAAACATCTGAAGCCTCCAGAAGCTGCAAGCAAAAATGTTTGTTTCAGTTCTAAGCGAATGAACCAGCGATTTACATCGTCACCAATTCACTTTGTACCGTTTTCAACACTGTCCTCGTTAAATTAATTATACAACAGAACACTTACCTCCTGTCATTCCCCAGCACATCGAAGAATCCAACCTCAGGACAAGTGTCTGGATTATATGGGCCCAAAAGAACCTGCTTATGCAGTGCCACAAGCTTCAGTTTTTCTTCGTAAGTTGGATGAAATGCTTTGCCATCTTTTTCTGTAAGAAAAGAAAGAAAACCCACAAGGAAAATAATTAGCACTGGAAAAATGCATAATTTTCAGCTGCATGCTCAAGTTTTGCTATAGGTATGTCCAAACTGCCTACAAGAGATAGAAACACTATTATAGTGAGACCTTTTTCAAATACTAAATTTTAATAACTTTTATGCAGAATTTTTAAAAAATGAAGCCAAGTACCAATATTTATGCTAAAACGACTCCAGCCCTAGCTGGTTTTGCTCAGTGGGTAGAGCATCGGGCTGAGGACTGAAGGGTCCCGGGTTTGATTCCTGGTCAGGGCACATGCCCGGGTTGCGGGCTTGATCCCCAGTAGGGGGCGTGCGGAAGGCAGCCTATCAATGATTCTCTCTCATCACTGATGTTTCAATCTCTCTCTCCCTCTCCCTTCCTCTCTGACATCAATAAAAAAATATTAAAAAAACAAAACAAAACAACAACAAAAAAAGACGACTCCAGAGAAACCATCTGTTAAGCTACAGTCAGGGACACAGATATGTGTACCACTGACATCTTTTATACATATTAAACATGTTCAACAATCATTCTTTAAAAGGTTTAAAAAATAATTTTGAATCAATCATTTTCAATACGATCACACATATACTTTGAAAGGCTATATTCAAAACGTTTCCATCCTGCTGATGCAGTATGACGTGGTAGGAGGGGCTTTGGAATCAGACAGCCTAGGTTTAAATCTCCGCTCAGACACTTCTTAGGTGCAGGACATTAACCTCTCTGATTCATCAATCAGAGAGGAGTAAGGAGTCCACTGCTACTTCAGAGGTAACAGTTATTATTATTATTAAGAGTAATAACTAGCCCTGGCCGGATAGCTCAGTTGGTTAGAGCATCATCCTGATACACCAAGAGTAATAACTACTTGATCCTTTTCCTTCCTTCATAAACCTGACCTTTTTAATTGCTTTGGTTTCCACTTGGTAAAAAGGTCAAATGAGTTAATTAATAATATGCTAAATTTCAGTGGTCAGTTCACAATGAGACAGGCCAGTAAACTAGGCCAAGTGGAATAGGGAAACTGAGTCAGACAGCTGAGCAAACTGGCAGAGCAATTTACAGCCGGATACAGAAGGTGACCTCTCTAGAGCAGGGGTGGGCAAACTTTTTGACTCGAGGGCCACAATGGGTTCTTAAACTGGACCGGAGGGCCGGAACAAAAGCATGGATGGAGTGTTTGTGTGAACTAATATAAATTCAAAGTAAACATCATAGTTTTATTCATTTCAAACGGGCTGGATCCGGCCCGCGGGCCGTAGTTTGCCCATGGCTGCTCTAGAGCCTCAGTTGTATTTCACCTCCAGGACGGGAAGAAAAGCAGCAAAACCAGGTGGGCAATGCCAGGACCTAGGGACCCCCTGCCGTAGCATCAGTGGAGACCACGACCCTGAAAGAGCAGGCCTAGAAAATGGAAGAATATTCTGCTGTCCAGTAACAGGAAGACTTTATGGCATGTGGTAGGCATAATAATAGGCACCCCCCCAAGATGTCTACATCCTAACCCCAAATCTGTGGATACGTTCGATTATATGAAAAAGGGGAATTAAGGCTGCAACTGCCTTACCCTGGACTTCCCCGCCTTGGCCCAGTGTAATCACAAGGGTCCTTATCAGTGGGAGGAGAGGGAGGGTCTGGGGGAGACCGGAAGCTGGTGTACAGCTTGTACCCTCCAAGAGGGAGGAGGGGACCATAAAGCCAAAGCGTGCAGGCGGCCTCTAGAGGCCAGAAGAGGCAACAGCTGCTTTCCCAGCGCCTCCAGGAGCACAGCGCTGCCCACCACCCCCATTTCTTTTAACCCAGTGAGACCTATTTTGAACTTCTGACCCCAAAAACTCTAAGACAGGAGGTGTTGTTTTAAGACACGAATTTTCTGGTAGTTTGTTACAGGAGCAACAGGAAACCAATACAATACACAAAACACATGTTCCCAAGCAATTAAAAATAGAAATGGCTTCTAGATCATGTTCTTATTAAATTCATAAGTTTTAATAAGACAGCATAAATAATTTGGGAGCAGCATTATAATCACTGCTACCAAGCCCTAAGGTCTGAAAGATTAAAATTAAGTCCCTTCCACCTGAAATTAATCATACACAAGGTTATTAGTCTCACACCTCAATTGCTAGAGTACATTTACGGAGAAGTCATATTTTCCCTTCTGTCTGGAGGTAAAGGTGGAGGATGCAACAAATTATTTCAAAGTCCCGTCTAGCCTTTACTTGATGAAATGAAAGCCATCAAATACATGGGCTGGGAAGGACATTAAAGACAGGTGACTGAAGGGCACAACCAAAGCTCAAATCTGCCCTCCTTATCTACCTTGGCCTCCAGCAATTTGTTACTATATATACAGTATAAAAAAGATGTAAACTGTAACATCAATAACCTAAAATGCTAGGGACAAATAAAAGTATAGAGTTTCTGTATGCTGTGAAGTGATGTGCTTAAACTAGAACTATAAAATATTTTATATAAGCCTCATGGTAACCACAAAGAAAAAACTGTGGTAGATACACAAAAGCAATCAAAGCATATCCACCTAGTAACTACTAACTGGTGCTCGAACACTTCCTGGTGGCAGTAACTCACTGCCCCACAGCAGTCTATTCCATCACTGGATAGCTGTGATTTTCACTTCTTCATTCTGAGTTGATCTCTTTCTAGTCTTCAGCATTAAATAAAACGCATCTAACAGACCTCAAAAAAGCCACAAAAGCCCTGGCCATGTGGTTCAGTGGTTGGGGCCTTGTCTGGTACACGGAAAGGTTGTGGGTTCAATTCTCAGTCAGGGCATATACATAGGTTGTGGGTTCCGCAGTCAATGGCTAAACAGCAGCTCTTATGATAACGAGGGCAGGGATTTGAATTCCCACACCCTACAAGTTGCTCTCTTCTGAATGAGCAGAAGAGAACCCTAAAGCATGGTGCTGCAAAGTGCAAGCAGCATCCAGGGATCGCCTCCTCTGTGCAGAGGAGAGCAAGACCATCTCCCCTTCCCTCATCCTAGACACCGTATTTCTACCACAGCAGCTTACAATCAAATTTGTTTTCTTGCGTGGCCCTTATCACACTTTTGCCTCACAGAGAATATACTACTTTTAGAAATATTAAAATCCCACCTCACCCTGGCTGGTGTGGCTCACTTGACTGAGCATTGTCCCATGCACTCAGAGGTTACGGGTTCCATTCCCGGTCAGGGCACATGCCCAGGTTGTGGGCTTGACCCCCAGTGCAGCAATCAATGTTTTTTTTTTTTTCTTTCTTCTTCTCTCTTTACCTTCCCCTCTAATATCAAAAAAATACTTAAAAAAAAATAAAACAAATAAAAAAAAATAAAAAACAACAACCACATCTCTCCCATATTGAGCTGAGAAAAAACCTGAATGATAAATTCTTATACTACTTACAAGAAAGTATAATACAATGCAATATTGCTAAGTCAATGAGTATAAAACACTGGGAACTGCTTATCATGTCCAAAGTGCTTATTAAAAGTTGACTTTCCCCCCACACACTCCACAATAAGTTTAAGTAATGTCCTCGGCCACAGAATACCAATTGCCAGGTACTATCTATGAGTTTATATATGTAATTTCTTATAATTCTTACAACCCTTTGAGTAAAGGAAAGCACAAAGTTTAAACTGAGTGGCAGAACTAGGAGAAAGCACCCCAGGTAGTGCGACTCTAGACTCAACTTCCTAAATATGAGCAGAGTAGCTCTCATTTTAGTTAACTGATAAAAGTAAACATTACCTCCTTCTGGTGTTGGTTACCAGGGTGTGTTCCTTGTGTGAAAAGTCAACAAGCCATACACTATGATTTGTGTATTTTTGCACAAATCCTCTGGCAGATGCTAAAATCATACATATATTCCTATATAATAAAAGGCTAATATGCAAATTGTCCCCATGGGCGGGAGTTCGACCGACCGGGAGTTAGATGTGCACTGACCACCAGGGGGTGGCGCAGAACATGGTGGGTGTTGACGACGAAGCTGGCAGTGGGCAGCAGTGGAGGTGCTGCTGGCCCCGACGAGAGCGGGGATGCGGTGGGATGTTGGAGCATGTGAGCAGGTGGCGTCAGGACAAGGTGGGTGTGAAGGGAGGCTCTGGCTGGCAGCCAGCAGCTGCTAGGGACACTACCCATGCACGAATTTCATGCACTGGGCCTCTAGAGTGTGTGTGTGTGTGTGTGTGTGTGCGTGTGTGTGTGTGTGTATATATATATGATCCTATAATTTAAGCATCAATAATAAGAGCTAAAATAATAAAATCAAATACGTTTAAAAGCATGAGTACATAATGACATTAAAAAATTGTCACCGTTTGCTTGGCTGGCATAGCTCAGTGGTTGAGAGTTGACCTATGAAGCAGGAGGTCATGGTTTGATTCCCAGTCAGGGCACATGCCTGGGTTGTGGGCTTGATCCCCAGTAGGGGGTGTGCAGGAGGCAGCCGATCAATGGTTCTCTCTCATCATTGATGTTTCTCTCCCTCTCTCTTCCTCTCTGAAATCAATAGTATACTAAAAAAAAAAGTCACCTTTTGAGGTTGATAGAGACACTCATTATTTTGAAAATAGAGAAAGAAGCATTTACTTTCTTTTCCTATTTGAACTGTACCCCAAACCAAATAGTATATGAGGAAAAGTATTACATGAAGGAAAGACGATTAGAATACCAACATTTTTCAATCCCTAATGAATTAAAACGCATCCGTTTTCAATTTATAAGAGTGAAAAAACAGTCATAGGTTAGCTAGATGCAGGCTTCCGCTAGGTCTCCTAGTATGTTAATAGGAATACACTATTAATACCAGTATTTCTATTTTAAAAAATATATTTTATTGATTTTTCACAGAGAGGAAGGGAGAGGGATAGAGAGCCAGAAACATCAGTGAGAGAGAAACATTGATCAGCTGCCTCCTGCACGCCCCCCACTGGAGACGTGCCCGCAACCAAGGTACATGCCCTTGACCGGAATCGAACCCGGGACCCCTGAGTCTGCAGACCGACGCTCTATCCACTGAGCCAAACCGGTTCTGGCAATACCAGTATTTCTGATGGGCACATTTACTTCAGTCCTTTGGAGGCGATTCCCCGCCACTACATCAATATTTCAAACTGACAGCGATGTTATGTAGGGATTCAGAGTAGATGCTTCCTCACACTTTACTTTTCCAGATATCTGAGCGAATCTCAAGAAAGTGATCGTGTGTAGAAAAACAAAATGAATCTTTCCATCAGCCCTTAATATTTTCAAGCAAATACATTAAAGAAGTTCCAGGGAGGGGGCTGGGGGCTGAGTGAAAAAAGGTGAAGGGACACAGACAGCAGCATGGTGATGGCCAGAGGGAAAGGGGGTGGGGGAGGTGGGAGAGGGTAAAGGGGGGAGGGGGTAATTGAGGAGAGAAAGGGATTGACTTTGGGCAATGGAGCACTGCGCAGTGGCGGCTCACATCCTAATGGCCTCTTCACTGCTAACTATGTAAAGATTCATGCAGAAAGGTAGTTTTTGATTGCTACGCTGCTATTTCTCCTTTTAAGTGTTTGGATATTGCTTTGAAAGCCTAACTTAGGAAGGGAGTGAACCATACCTATCAATGTAGCTTTTTTCCTTTAAGGCAGCGGTTCTCAACCTGTGGGTCGCGACCCCTTTAAATACATCCTGCATATCAGATATTTACATTACGATTCATAACAGTAGCAAAATTACAGTTATGAAGTAGCAACGGAAATAATTTTATGGTTGGGGGTCACCACAACATGAGGAACTGTATTAAAGGGTCGCGGCATTAGGAAGGCTGAGAACCACTGCTTTAAGGTGACTGATAACTAGGCCCCCAAATTACAGGTTCCCTAGGAGTCCTACTACTCAGCAAAATAATATTAGGGTTAGACCACTACATCTCAAATCTGAGGCATCAAATCCAGCTCCGCGTATATAAATGGACGGAAACTAAGTCTAGAAAACTTAACTGTCTAGGAATTACACAGTAAATGGAATCCAAGGCTTCCTGACTCCAAAGCAATGCTAAGTTTACCGCACATTGTACAGTGTTTTAATCTTTCAAAGATGATACCACTACCATTTTCAAATAAGACAGGCTCAGATGATGAGATTACCTATTTATGTTTTTGTTGTTAGTCAAGTGGCAAAAGCTAGGATTAGAAGTTGGTTCTTTTCTATTCTGACATACTTCTGCTACAATATATGTTAACCTTCCTGAATCTGGAAAATTACGTTCTAAGAATAAAAATTGAAGGTAAAATGTAGTTATTAATCATTGCACAGAAACCATCAGGATTTTATATATGTGAGAATGCATCATCACTACAGGAAACCCTACATTCAAGGGCCAAGAGATCCCAAATCCAAGGCTGGATTCATTGTGCAATGATGATGAGTATTTCAAGGGTAAACTTCTTCTTCTTCTTTTTTTTTTTATATTTTTTATTGATTTTTTTTACAGAGAGGAAGGGAGAGGGATAGAGAGTTAGAAACATCGATGAGAGAGAAACATCAATTAGCTGCCTCCTGCACACTCCCTACTGGGTACATGCCCTTGACGGGAATCGAACCTGGGACCCTTGAGTCTGCAGGCTGACACTCTATCCACTGAGCCAAACGGGTTAGGGCTCAAGGGTAAACTTCTTAACGAAAAGTGCAACGCGTGTGGCACGATCAATTGTTCTGGAACATGTACACGAGAGAGACTTTCATAGCGTGCACGACTAAAGTTGGTTTTTGAGAAAAAGCAAGTAACTTTTGCATGCATGCATCACCACGTTGAACCACTCAACTTCAGCTGGTAAAACATGTACCCCCAAAGGTACCCCCTCCGGGGAAAGTGTCACAAACACGCGGTTCTGGAATGTGTAGGGAACCTAGCAACCTCCCTTAAAGTTTCCTGGGCTGAGGTCTCTCCTCGCCCAGGCGGCCCACGAGGTCCCACTATCTCCAAGAGATCAAACTAACGGGCTTCTCATCACTTTTTCCCACTGACAGGCTCATGTGACTGGTATCGCCACCATCTGACTCAGTGAATCACCCAATTAAAACAAACACACACACACACACACCACAATCTTGCTCCAACAGTGGTTCTCAACCTTCTGACCCTTTAAATACAGTTCCTCATGTGGTGACCCAACCATAAAATTACTTTCGTTGCTACTTCATCACTGTCATGTTGCTACTGTGATGAATCGTCATGTAAATATCTGATATGCAGGATGGTCTTAGGCGACCCCTGTGAAAGGGTCGTTCGACCGCCAAAGGGGTCGCGACCCACAGGTTGAGAACCGATGCTCTAAGACGAGACATTTTACAATTCTGCGAGGTGCACGGGGTTGGGGGTGGGCTGGGGGGAGCACTTTTAAACCTAACTCTGAGAATTCGCTCTTGGCTCATTGCTTTACGGGGTCACATTTTAACCTTCTGCAAGTTCCTAGGACAGGGCGAGCATCCTTTCTCCCGGGAGTGTGACCCGCCGGAGGGGACGTGCGGGCGGAACACGCCCTCCTCTCGGCCACACCGGGAGTGCCAGGTGCTCAGATCCTGCCGGAGCGCGCGGTCCCCCCGCAGGACCGGGGAGGGTGTGCCGCCCCCGCCGGAGAGCCGCCTTCCCCCGCGGGAAGAGGGTTCAGATCGGTGGGGTGTGACGTGCCACGCCATAGAAGCAGAGAAAGAAACGCGGCGGTAAAACAGAAAACAACAACAATAATAATAATAATGGCAATAAATAAATCCCAGGATGGGGTCCGCTGGGAGAGAGCGGGCTCATGCTTCCATCCCAGCTCCCGGAAACCCGAGAAGCGAAATCAGGGAAAACGCCCGGTCACCCCGGGGAGGCGGCCCTCGGACGGCGGAACCGAGGCCCCAGGCCGTCAGGGCTGTGACCCTGCAGCCCAGC